TCTTAAAGTTAACGAGGCCCGACCCAGTGAATATTCATATATACAGACATGCATATACCCAGCAATGCATATTTGTCTATCAGATATACACATTTATTCATCTATTATTACTTTAGACATGCCTGTTTAGACGGACAGATATGCATCTTTTTCAATGTATATGCATGTCCGTAGTATAAAGAATATTCATTGGTTCGGACCATTTTATATAAATCGGCCAATGATCACGGAAATACGATAATCATTTAGAAGTACAACGATCCGAATGTTTTGGTACGATGTCTTGGTTGACAGCGCTCACGGGAACACCTTTTGTTTACAATCAATGCGTTGAAAATACGCAGATGGTTTAAATAAAGTCTGTTGGAAATATAAGTGTTAGGAACGTTGATAGGTGAGTTGCATATAGAGAAATAGTTCAATAAGTCTTATCAAATTTGGTGTGTTAGTTGAATAGATGTATCATTTGACGATTTACAAAAAATAAGTATAATTTACCGTGATGTTCGCATACAAAGGTATTTGGCGAAAGGTTTACGAACATAATATCTGGTGTGAGATACCTGTTATCTGTTATTTGTTTTTATTTTTAAGAATATTATTTGATATTTTTGTCAAGAATTTCACATACAGATATATTCTAAAAGGTGTAAGTGTAACATATACATTGATTTGACTATTATGCCTTTTATTAGTATTTCTGTACCATTCGTAATTTGGATTTGGGTAATTTTTTGAATAGTTCCACGAAACAGATCATGATAAGTTTGGTAGTTTCCAAATATATAGATTTTTTGGTAGAGGTTACGGAGACGGACACGCGTAGATAGAGAGAAATGGACACCGCCATGTTATAGAGCGGAAAAAATAGAGTGGGATGGAACATAGTATAAGTTGTGCCGGACTTATATTTACCGTTAAATAGAAAACATAGAATCCTCCACATATTATGCGGGAGCACCCATGGCTAAGTCTGTCCAATGCTCTCTCCTGCATCCTGCTGTGAATACATTGAGGATTCTTTGTTTTCCTTGGCGGCGGTTAGGGAGTAGCAGGTCCCTTTTGGGGGGTTGCAGGGGGCACAATCTACTTTATAACATGATTAGGTAATTTTCTTTATTATGCACAATAAAATCTATATATTTGCATTGTGGACAATGCTAGGAATCCAACAATACCAAAATCGTTGATGTCGGAGCGGCGGATGTAATATAGAAAATTACCAATGATTACAGATTATGCATCTGAGTTTTTGGTATTGTCAATCAAAATGATAATATGATGTGAATGTTTTTTTTTTCACATATCTCTCCATATTCTATTCTTTCCAAACTTAGTACTTAAAGTGAAATATACATTAGCAGATATTCTTATGTGTCATACATATTTTTGTACCCAACTTATTAAGATGAAGACTTAAAGTGAAATATACATTAGCAGATATTCTTATGTGTCATACATATTTTTGTACCCAACTTATTAAGATGAAGACTTGAAACAAGATATGAACCATTAATAAAAATATCATTAGACATTTGTATCTTTATCCTTATTTCTGTAGGATTACCACATGATTTACTTGACATAAAGTGAATCCATAGTTATCTTGTATTTCTGGCTGTATCCATGACCTTCAGGAATCGACTGAGCCTGATAGACTGGATGACAATACTCACAGGGAAGGGTTCATAAAAGAATACAGCAAATATATATATGATATTTATGCAATCTAATGTTGAGACAAAAGCAGATAAGAGTGCTGATGTAGAAAGGCATTTTTGGGAAATAAATAGATAATAATTACCAACTATTATGAATGACAATCAACAGTAACTTTAATGAAAGGAAGTGTCTACTTGAGTGCTATTCTTTCACATTACAAAGCTATTTCCTCTTTGATGGCTGTGTCACCTAGTTATTGTTATTTGTTGATTATTCTTTTTCCTTTCTTTTTTACTCAAATTAACTTTGTCACTCTTTTATGAAAGAATCCAGCCGAATAATGAAATTTATTTGAGTGCATAAAAGCACTTGATTCCCATAATGCAATGGTTGTCATACTTAATGATTATAAAAAAAGTATATGGATGATTCTCCTCTTTTATTCATTTATTTATCATTCTCTTTCACAGGATGAGTGTAAATGATTCCTGGAATTATCTGTTGTCCCTTGGTGTACGACACTGTAACTGGGATGATCCCATTTTTGCGGAAGGAATGCATGTGTGTCAGCCCCTTCGTAAGGTGCCATGTATTGACCTGGACAATGAAGAATTTTTACACAGCAAGTAGGTGTTACATCTGTATGTGGTATCTAGACTAAGTATAGGTTAACTTTTATATTTATTTACCACTTCCCGCTGAGTGGCATGTACGTACATGCCATGGCTCTTGTAGACCACGAAGTGAGTGGCATCACATCCTGACCATTCATGCGCTGTTGGCTCATCAGATGGAACTTCTGTGGTGAAACTCTTAGGTAATAGCACCAAAAGTGAAGATAAACCTTCACATATGATTTTTTAAAATAATGAAATAAAAGTTTTTAGGTGCCTAATGTTGCCTCCAAACTACTGAATGAGCCGGGCTCAAACTGGGGAATCTGTCGATGCATGCCAGCAATCTGGCGTTAATGGGTACTAACCAAATTTGTAACCCAGCATTAATGGGTTAATTCTTTTTTCTTAATTTTTTGATATGTACTATTGGTTTGATTGAATTATAAAAGTGTTAAGGTGTGAGTGATATGTTCTTATTTGTATCAATTAGGGTAAATGAAATATGTATGTGCACAGAACAGAGGAAAGATCTGAGCCTCAAAGCTCTAATAAAGAAATGAAAATTTAGCAAATGAAAAGACATGCAGCAATTTGCTATCTAGGCTCACACAGACCTGATTATGACAACACTATGTGTGTCCATAGGGTGGTTAATCCTTAAAGCCTGATGATGCTGTATTGATTATTTTGGGAGTTTTTATTTCCAATCTGAGGACATTCAGCAGAGTATAACCTCTCCAAAAATGGCAGGCTATTTTTCCATGTTTCTTTTATTGTCAGTGGGAGGTAGGTTATGTGAAGAAGTAACGTTGGTACTGTTTGTGAAATTTCTTCTAGCAACACCACCCCAAAACCAACTAGTCAGTTTCCTTCAGTCAGTTATTTCCAGCTGAGATGTAGCCAGAGTGTCATTTCAAATTATCAGTGTTAATGGACAATATTTGATGGATTTTTTATGTATATATTTGTGTGTGTGTGTGTACAGTTAGCTTGCATGCTGATTCTTTTGTTAACCTAGCATAAATTTCTAATATCCTGTACATCTGTATCCCTGCAGTTGCAGGTATATAACTTTGCCAGAATATTAACAGGTGGTATCTGAAGCAAGCTAGGTAGCATTGAAGTGTGGTGATACCCTAAATGTATATCTTTAAGCTTATAATAAAAAAACACAATAGGAAAAAGGTTTTCTTGTTTTTTTCTTTTTTTCTTTTTTATAATTGCCCACCACATAAAAAAAATCACTTCAAAAGTTAAACATAATTTCAAAGGTGGATTTACTCAGTTTTTTCATATGATTTAATTCCTGTATGTTTACCTGAAACAAAGTTTTGCATTTCAAATAATAAAGAAGACTCGAGGAAGAAATCCTTTTCAATTGTGCACACAAATCCAGCAGAAAATGTTCACATACACAGTTCTCTCCACTTCCAAGTTGTAAATATCTGAATGGTGAGTTTCATTTATTTATTCATTTAATTTTTAACCTAAAATACATATTTGCTACTCATATAGACATGTGTTCCAGATATGTAATTTGACATTGTATGGTTATAGAAAGGTAATGCTGATTGGTGAACTTGAAAGTTGAAGAAACTGTACCCTTTCATCTCTAAGGCAATTCATGCTATTTATCACACCATTTGATAATTGATTGATAATGATAAGAACAACAACAATAATAAAAAAATGATGATAATGATTATGATAATGGTAATGATAAACATGAGTATTATCCTCATTCACATAGCTTCACTATTTTACTGATAAGTTCTGATTATCCAAATTAATTTAAAGAATTTCTTCCTGAGTCTAGACCAAAATCTGTTTACTGTTAGGATATCATCACTGGTCAAATTGTCTGTTTAGATAGCCTACTATTAAACATGTTCATATGATACGTTCACGTAAAACAGTGTACCTGTTGTCTAGAAAACATATGATGTGATGATTGTGCTTAATCTCATATGAATTACTGTGAACAAATTAAAGCTGGTCAGTTATCTATGGATCAACTCATACTGTGCAATACTTTTTTATATTTTTTCTCCTGTTCTTTTATATTTCTGTCATTTGTTATCCAACTACTTAAATGATATTTTGATTATTAATTAATAGTTAATTCTTCTTGTCTCTTGTGCAAATAATGCTGGGTTTGTCAAGGGTACATATTTATAAGAATATTTATAAGTGTAGATATATGAATGTAGATATGTGAAGTGTAAAAGTGTTTTAAGTATGCATTTGTATATATGTATGAATGTACTGCAATTTTTGCCTTTGTGCCATTTTTCAAGGTTTATATTTGTCATTCGATATACTCTGTGAAGACGGTAATATTTCTTTCATAATTCTGAAAGTAATTAACACAACACTAATGTATCCTGGAGACTGGATTCCCACATATTAAGATAATAACACCATCATTTATTTTCTTTATGTTTCACATCATACACTAATACATAATGAAAAAACATACGTCACCAGTATACTCCCCAGCAATTATAATATTTTAGCTGTATCACCAATGCTAATTTTTAATATTTTTCCACCATGTACCATTTACCTAGAATTAAAAGAAGCAATTGATACTCAGTCGAGAGTCAGGTTTTCCATCCATGTCTCTCCCGTGTAGACTGTTATGCTCCCTGCTTCAAAATTGGGTTCACAAATGCTCTTATAGTGTGCACAGACATATTATACTTGAACATATTATACCAT